CCACCCATCTCCCCCACCCGCCATCCTGGCCAGAACCGCTGTTTCTGTTAAAGCACATCCAACAATCTCAGCGAGAAAGGAAAAGAGGAGGGAACAAGACACAGGAAGGAACAAGCAGAAAAAAAATATTCTCAGAGATTTTCTAAATCTGACACCCATTTGCTTTAGCTATTTAGCGGCCTGATGATATATAACGTTTCTGTTATCACTACATTCTAAGGCAAATAAGCTGTTTCTATACTGTCTGATCACAGAATTCAATTCAACTGGAAAAACAATCAAGGTGAAAGGAGCTAGCAGCCTAATACACAAACAAGACCTAGAAAAGAAAAAAAGGTTGAAGAAACTGAAAGGAAGTTTAGGAGAAAAGAAAAAAAATATAAGGTGAGTCAAAAACATTTATTGCTAAAAACAGCTAGAGAAAAACAGTAAGTGATCACTAAGAATTTCTTCTAAAACACGTAATCCACGAGAGTCACATGGTAAGCATTAGAAATCAAACTTGTGAAAAGAGTAAGCAAGCAGGAAGGGGAGACTTTAAACTACTGTACTCCTAAGGGCACTAAACTGAAGCAACCTGTTCTTTACAAAACTGACACACAGACCAACAATAGGAAGCTGTTCAGTTACAGAGGTGCAGGTGTATGTAAGCTGTGAGCTAGCAATAATGAAAGACAGGATCGCTTATTAATTTTGTAATGAAAACAGCAGATAGAAGAGTGAATTCTATGAGTTCTAGAAAACTTTACGCAAAGGCAGTTACGTGGCGCTAAAGCGAATGGAATAAAATTGGGGGGATAAAAGGGGACACAGAAAGCACCCACGTGCAAACTGATGAAGATGCAGCGACAGCGTGTTGTGTGCGTGTATCTACATATACATGCACACAGGTTAACGACTGGGAAATATGCATAAACACAGCTAAAAACCACATGCATGCCGAAAGCACACTCTAGCCTTGGAGCAGACACAACCATCCCTTCATAACTGAGGACTGCTACGTACACATCCAAGCACAGAGACCAGAGGGAAGCAAGGGATACGGAGTTCATTTACGACAGCGTCATTTTGGTCACGTTACCCTCCTGCTGGTTTTTAGCTATTGCTTCTAACATCAAGGATGGAATTCTCACGTAAGACAGCCTTTTCTGACACCTTAAACTCCCTACACAACTGTAAACTCCAGCATCTTATAAAACCAAGACCGTAAGTATTGTTTTGTTTTACCTTTCTTCCTCGCTTTGACGGCCTCTTCCCATAATCTCAGGGTCTCTACCTGCTTTCCAGGCCAACTTGTTACATGTTGCTGCTGCTGCTGTTGCTGCTGTTGCTGCTGCTGTTGCTGTTGTTGCTGTTGTTGCTGCTGTTGTTGTTGTTGTTGCTGCTGTTGTTGCTGCTGCTGCTGCTGCTTCTGATTGCTGGTCTCTTCACTCATGCATGCTATGCCAATTAAGTAAGAACACAAATTCACCTTGAAAAGTTACTGTTTTCTGCTGAGATCACAAAGGCTTCTTCCACGAAGAGCGTGCGGAATCTCACAGGATTCCAAGAGCAAAAAAATCAGAGGTGTTTAAAACCATATAATTAATTCTGTGCTTTATAAAACCACTTTTCTGAGAGCTAAAAACCAAAATGTAAGTCAGAAACATCTGCTTTCACTGCCAAAAATGAACTTTCATTCTGATTGTTTGTATTTTAGGGAGAATGAGACAAAAGACTACAGTGCGTCTCTAGAATTCAAACTGATTAGCTGATGCCACTTTTTCTAAACCTCAGCTCCAGTGGGGGGGAAAAAAAAAAAAAAATAAAAAAGCCTTTTTACTTTTTATTGCAAGTATGACTTCAAATTTGCAGTTTACATCACAGAGCAGCATGTTACTACTTTCTGGCCACGCTACAGCTCATCATTTCCACCTCCAACAACTGCTGTAAATGCCCCATGTGAACTGGCTTGGCACCACCCAAATGCCCTGGGAAGCCAGAGCCGTAACCCTATACCTTGAAAAATACTTCACGTCCAAATTTCGTATTCAGCTCAACAATCAGGCACTTTAGACATTCCTGGTACCTTCAAATTATCCAGGAGTAACAGGAAGCAAAAGGATGTTGTAATTTAATAATACTGGTTAAAAGGCTTGAAAGACAAAGTTGCCAAAGACCTTCCCTCCTCCTCCTCCCTCTTGATCCCTCTGAAAACCCCTTTGGTATCACTGTGCCAGTGAACTTGTTGCAGGTTCTAACAGGGAAGGTGTGAAAGTCAGGTCATGTCTGCATACTAGGCTCTCCCTAGACTCAGGCTTCAGCGCTTCCACAGAGTTTAAGACCAGAAGGAACTATGACAAACATCTCACCTGAGCTCCTGCACACCACCAGTCAAATGCTGTCAGTGCCCAAAACTGGGCTGGATTTAAATGTTTTTCTTGTCAGCGACTGCCAGAGGGAGGAATCACTGAGCCCCAGGGTCAAAGCTCAGAGAAAGCAGAGAAATCTTTCTCCTAATTTTGATGAGCTTTAGATGAGGCTTCAAACCTGAAACTTGGCAGATCTTAGCAGCTCTTAGATATTCTAAAATCTCCAGAATGATCTGCTGGACTCCAGGCCCGTACAGTTCAGGAAGCAGCACTGTACTTAGAAGATGAGAAAACCTGGGAAGTCTCTCCTCCAAGAGACGGGTTATTCTCACCAACTGCAGGGCGCTCCTGAGGGATAAGAGCACAGCCTAGCAGCAAACCAACTCCACGTATGCCCCTTCTCGAGCTGAGGAAGATCCTGTTATCAAACACCTATTTTTAATCGGTGTAAACACCCAGACTGACGGGTGTGTTTTGCATTTTAACGTAATCAAAGGCAATTCCCTCTGCAAACACATTGTTATTAGAAATGTTTTTAAAACGTTCACCTACTTTTATTGATGCCTTGTTTACAGGTATTACAGTTGATACTTTGGCTCTGCCCGTGTGTCTTTAAGTGGCTGGTGATATATGCTGCACTCAGAAGTTTACCACAGATATTACACGATACCTTTCCTTCATGGCGCACCATGTGTGTCCGCAGTCTGTCTTTGGTGGCAAAGGCAGCAGTGCACGTCTATATGAAGGACAACAGTTACACTTGAAGTGCAGACAGCATCAGTACAGTAAGAATCACATGCCCACTGTAAGCTATGTTACCTTGTAGGTGCAAACAGTATCCTAAGTATATTGACAACTGTGAATTTTACCTGTATTTATAGAGAAACCAAAATCGAACTCCTAAACAGAGACTGAAAATGGAAGTTGGCTTCTGAGACAATCTGGATAAAAATCACACTCCGTACTACCTGAACTGTCTTAAAATAGCGGGTTGCCTTACCTACCAAAGCAAGAGGGAGCTTATAAAAAAAGCCTAGAACAGGCAAAGTGGTTTTTTTTTAATTCAGCTTTACTCTACAAATATGAACTTGGTATCTTAAATTGCTCAATTATTTCTGTTCCCATCCAAATCAGAACAAGGAAACGAAACCTTTTTCTAACACTATTCTTTTTGAACAAGACTTTTTATTTAATACAATGAGTCACTAAAACACAGGTTGGAACAAGCACGGATATTCCAAGCAAAACAGTTAATTGTTCAAGGGCAGTCAAGTTACTTCTCTTCTACTCCGTCATCAACTTACGACAATTTGCTTTCACCTTCCAGCAAAGTAACGGATCCAGAATCAGCTATTCCAATCCGTTTTAAATGGATATACTGAGAAACACGCTGAATTTAGGTATGCTGAGAAACACACTGCACACGTTACTCCTGCAGTCAGCACTGAGCTGAGGACGCTGTTACAATCCTACTACTCAGTTAAGCATATCACAAAACAGAGCACTTACGTTGTTCCCCAAGGAAGCAAAAAGCCTCTAATTTTCCTACAAAAAAAAAAAAGTAGCCACAGCACCCTTTCAGACTGCCACTACACCTACATCAGAACTACAGCGCTGTTGGTACGTAAGGGGGATGTGACCTTTTTTCCTAAACTTGCTTTTCAGTGAAAAGTAAAGCAGCAAATACAGTTCTGGGAAGATTATTCACCTGAGATTCTAACGAAACAATAAGGTATTGTTCTTAATAAATCATTTTAGCCCTTACTTGGCATTTGAAGGGTCTCTCTGTTGAGTGAACATGTTTAACGTGACAGCTTAAATGATCAGGCCTGCAAAAAAAAAAAAAGAGAGGAACAGAAGAGAAAATGCATACTGTTACAAATACATAGTAAGGACACCTTGGCTAGCGGTGCTGAACACTGCGCTGATGACCCCTTGCAGCCCACAGCCCTCCGCACGGCAAGAATAAATACATTCCCCTGGCCTAGGCGGTGGCTTTCAGCTAGAGTAACGCATCGTTACGCTGAGACCCAACCTGCAGTTTAAAACTTAACCGCGTTCTTCTCGCGCACCTGGAAACGGTACGTTGGGTCGTACCCTGTGTCAAGGTGACAGATCAACGGCTCTAAAGGTTGGAGTTTGTCTCCGTTGCAAGCACAGATATAAATACAGCCAGCAGCAATGCAAGCTCCCCCACAATGCTCTGTCAGTGCGCCTCAACCTCGCTACGAGACAAGGAGACAGTTCGCCTGCCGTGCCCCATTCGGCCACTGACCCTTGCAAAGGCTGGTAAAGGGGCTCCGTGGCCACCGCCAGTGACACAGACACGTGTCCTAGGGGACCCGGACGAGGTCGCGAAAACATTTCACAACACTCTCATAAAAGAGCGACCGCTTGCGGCCACTGCCAAGCTGGCTTAGACCGAGACCCACGCCCTAGAGGTAAACAAGGCTCTTTATCCCCTCACCAATCTTCTAAGATGTCTGGTTCTCCTAGCCCCTCGCTATGATAGCTTAACCCTTCTTGGTTATGAAAAGCCAATACTTGAGCTCGCCTGGGATTTTCTACATGGTACCTCGAGAAGCCTTTTCCACAAACACCACAGGTGTATGGTTTCGTGATGCCACCTTCGTGAGACCTCACGTGGTAGGTCATGCGATCCTTTCTCTTGAAGCGCTGATTGCAAATTGGACATTCAAAGGGTTTTTCATCTGAGTGGGACAGCTTGTGCCGGTTGAGGTGGTAGACATCCCTGAAGGCCTTTCCGCACATCTCACAAGCGTGGTTCTTCTTAACGGGCTTACTGGGCTTCTTCACCGTCTGAGTCACCGCCATAGCCGTCGCACCGGCACTACTGCTGGGGTTGGTGGCAGAGGAAGACGTAGTGACTGTGGACAGGATGCCTGCGATAGTCGAAACCAATGAACTTCGGCTGTTGTCACCAGCGATGGTCGAGATAAGGGGCACCATTGTGGTGGGAGTTTTCTTTGGCCGTGACACTAACTTTATCCCTGTGTGGCAGGACTCGTGACGCCTCAAATGGTAGCTGTCCCTGAAAGCTTTGCTGCAGTAAGTGCACACAAAGGAGGTTTTAGGTTTTTCCTTTTTAATCCCAACAATAGCATCCTTTAATGTTTCTGGTGCAGGCTGAGGTTTCTGCGTTATTGGTAAGGGCAGAATCGGCTTCTGATCGGGTGGCTCAACAGCAGAGCTCAGGAGAGGCAACAAACTGTTCTGTGCTGCCTGCTGTTGGTGATGTGAGGCTTCGTGTGCCTAAAACCAAACAGTCACACTTAAATTCTATTGATGGGTGCTCACTCTGACAGGGTGAGAACATTTACAAACTACAGGAAAGCACATTCTAGACCAAAAGCCATTGAAGTAACAACTGCAAAAATTTACATAATTTCGGTTTTGGACAGGATAAACCGCTCGCGCTTTAAATGAGTTCGCTGTGCAGATTCTGTGGTAAGTGTAGGAAGGCACACATCATAACAATCAAATAATTATTAAGTTTCCGGAGGGCAACACTTCTTATGGAAAACAGCTAGGTGCTTGTCAGATCTCTTACTAACACAGCGTTTGATCTTTACATAACAGATAACTTGTTTTGCTAACGATCATATCAGATGCCACCTTGGGACTATCTTTGGAGCGTTACGATTGTACTGACGGGAGCTGCAAAATAACGCCCCACCTTTAAGCCGAGCTTAGTGCATGTCGAGAATTAACCTGCAGCCACAGAAAGCCAGGACATGATAAGGTGTCTGTTTAAACAACGTGTTCATACCAGCGTGTTAGCACTGAAACCAAAGCAACTCGAATCGAGAGGTGTCTAAAGCCACATTTCTACATTTAGCAGGTTCCCGCCTCGTTTACACGCTGACCACTGCGCTCTTTGCATCTGGAAACTAATAAGAACAGCAACATGTTATTTTTCTCTTCGTCAGCAGCTACTTTGTGATAGGAAGAGGAGCTAATTGATAAGCACTGACAGACACCTAGAGATGCTGGAGAACACGGCTGGAGGGGGAATGGTTGGGGAAAAAAAAAAAAAAAAAGACCCGAAAGCTGCTTCAAAACAGCCAATACCAACAGACTCTGCGCTACGGGATCAGTGGGAGAAGGGAAAGGGAAGAGAAGAGCAAGCGCCGCTCAGCCTGTCCTACACCACGCTTGGGTCAGCCGCTGTTTATTCTAAGGCAGAAAACACTGTTATTAGAACTCATCCAGTCAGATTGGGACAAAACCCTAGCCGAGACAATTTTAAAGTGGTTTAGAAACCACACAGACCAATTCAGCCTAATGGAGCATTAAAATAAATCACTCTAGCACCTTAAGCCAGTTTAAGCGCATCTGTATTCAAGATGTGCCTCGGTCTCATCTGACCAGTTTTAAATCAGTCTCGTTATTAACACAGCGTGTGCCAGGTCTGAAGCCCAGTTCGGGGAAACTTGCATTCCCATTAGATCAGCACTGCAGCCTTCCAGCACTTCTGCCCTACCGTCTCCTTCACAAAACACCACGACTCGGGGCTGTGGGAGCTGAACCCGCCGCCACGCTGGCTCGCGATCCTCAACCTGGCTACTTTTACGTCGGTTGAGGAGGGACAGCGTCACGAGGCGTGCTCGGGTAACGCTCTTCCTACGCAAAGCCACGTCACTGCGTCCTTTGGAGAAGTCAGCACTGCTAGGAGCTCCCTTTTCTTAGCTGCATCCAAGCTCCGGCCGCTTTGCCTCTCCCGACGGCAGCCGCGGCTACAGGCACCTCGGCTGCAGGGGGGCTCCCGCCTCCTCCTCCCACCGCACGTGCCCTGCATCCGCGCCCTGCATCGCTTCAGCCCCTCCGGAGGCTACAAACGCCAACCCACGTGGGCAGGGATGCGTGCTCCCTAACGCTCCAAGCCTATCTGACAGGAAAAGAGTTCACGGGAGAAAGCCTGGATTCAGCAGGATAAGAGGAGACCAAACCTGCGGGAGCGGTTAGGAGCCAGGCCGCCGGTTTTATCGGCGTGCTGCGCCCCGTCTGCGCCCGAGCTCGGGATGCAACAGGTAGGCTGAACGCTGCCACAGCAGCCACCTCAAACAACAGCCTAAGGGGCTGGTTCGCAGAAGCGATTGCTGAAGAGTCCAATGCAGAGCTCTCCTGGAGGCTACGCTGCTAAACCAGGGCCCGGCCCAAGCTCCGGAGTCTCCGTTAAAACTTCTGCCTGACTTCAGCGACAACTGTGGATTTTCAAGCATTTATTGTCCGTGTTTTTAAAAAGCCATCGAGACATCTACATTGCATAAAGAGAGTATGTACAACACACATCGAAAGTACAATATTAAGCAAGTTGCGTACTTAAATACAATTTTAATTTTTAAAAAAAATTTTCTGAAGTGTTTTACAGCCAACTTTAAATAAGCATTGAACAATGTTGTTAAACTGCATCAGAAGACACTTAAGAGCACCTAAGGATAGCTCCAGAGATACAGTTTCAAATGCAGAGCTAGCAGATCGGATAATAGAGAGCCCAAATCCTTTGGACAAGGTTCAAACTCATGCAGTTTATGGATATTTTTAAGCCTTAAAGAATCGTCAGCACTTCAAGGTAATGATGCACTTATTCCTACGGAACCGACAGAGACGGTGGACATAAAACAATGTATATTCATAAGGCTACAGGCTACGAAGCCGCTGCTTATATAAGTCTGCTTATCTTGGTTCCCAGATAGCCAGTGTTATTAGCAGCGCTGTCTTTCTAACAGCCCCTCTCCGCAACAAGCAGTATTCCTCAGTTTCCGAGGGCTGCCTGCATTAAAGCCTTTTAAAAAAGGAGCAGGCGGTATTTTTTTTTTTTTTTAACTCGCTGTTCGAGCAGGGAGGACAGCACCTGCTGCATGCCTCTCTCCAGTCATTTTTATTCAGGCACACAGACCACGGTTTTACTTGACCTAGCGTTAATGTCAAGTCAACATTTTTGCGATATTTTGATCGCCGGGAACAGGCTCTCGTGCAAAACACCCTCATTCTATCACTACTTTTTTTTTTTTCTTTCCTGGGGGGCAGTAAACAAACAAATAAATAAATGATTAAAAAAAAAAAAACAAAACAACAACCAACCAACCTGTAATTCATGACCCGGAGTGGTAGGATGTGGCATTGTGAACTTCCAATGCCAGAGGCTAAAATATTTTTGCGCTCCAGCCTTAATGTGAGAGCAACAAATTAGCATGAGTCATATCTTGAACACTCTGTTTGATGGATGATTCCTCCTCACATTAACAGATACAACTTTCACTTTCTGAGCAGATATTAAAAGCGGTTTTTCCAAATATGCATTTCGGGGACTAATAAGATCCAAACAAGAACTGCTTATTCAGTATCACAATCGTTTCTTTAAAGAGCGAGATACAATTCATCAAAATGCCGCCTAAACACAATCAGACAACTTTATTTGGAAAGAGCAATTTACAGTCACATATCCCATTGCTAGCACGACTAAAATTAAGACATTGCAACCTCCGCTAAAAAACATGAGGCTAAAAATGACAACTTTACACACCACGTATTCAACTGCCCCTCAGAAATCCTGTCACAGCTGAGACACGCGCTTGGTGAAACTCCCCCCCCCTCCCGCGAAGAACCCGCGCGTATATTCAGTCACTTGCGTTTGTTATTTAACTGATACCGCGGAGGGGGGCCGGGAGGGGCTTTTAAATCCACTTTTTTGTTACTAGTTTTAACTACTCAGTCGGAGCTCGGCTGACACGCTGCTGGTGAGGACGGGAAGGAGAAAAACTCAAGTCACACCGGGACTATCCTAACGGTGCTTTCTGCTGGGTGCCTTAGGATGCTCGCACCCTAAAGGGTGGGTTTTAACAAAACGACTCGAGAAACAATATTCAGCATTTATTTGCGAGGTCTTACAGCTTTATTATTTGGGGAAAGAAGAAAAGAAAAAAAAAATTCGGAGAAAAATTTCCACGTCACAGTTTTATGAAGATGCTTCCAAGTCGCAGATAGCTAAATACGTTAGGCAAATGAACTGCTGACTCCTTAATTAAAAGCAGCACAGCCTACTCCTAAATCAAAGCGTGACATCGCTCTAAAAAAAAAAAAAAAAAAAAAAAGACGAGCAGCACGAAGCTGGACACGTACTTGAAAGTATTACTTGGCATTTCTCACCGAGGTTGCTGCAATACCGTACTGCCAGCCTAGGAATAATTTCTCCTCAAAAACTCCTCATCTGGGAGGCAGGAAGGCGATAAACCAGCCCCAACTCGGAGGGAGACGGCCCTAAACTAAGGAGATTAACTTCTTAGCGTGAAGTTTCCTATGTGCGAATCACAACTGCCCACTAGAGTGAGAAATAATTCACAAGACCTCAGCCAAACTCGATGGCATCACCCGCATTCATCACGAAAAGGCGGAAAACCCAGCGCCCGGCTCCCGGTACCGGCTCCCGGAACATTCCCGGCGTGTTTTCGGAGGCAAGAGCACCCGAGCCAGTGACTCACCCCTCGGTACTTGCAAGGGAATAATTTTTCCTCTCTAAAGGAATGGTGCTCGCTCTTGGCAGATTTATTCATTCAACTCAGGTTTTCAAACTCGTGTCACGGGTTGGGTTTGGGTTTAATTCCGAGGAGGACAGTGAGTAAGCGAGTGACCGCCGCTGGGAATGTGCAAAGAGGATTATTTTACCTTGAGAAAGGTGATGTGTGGGGCCTTTTTTTTTTTTTTTTTTCGCTGCTGCTGCAATTACACATCTTATGTTTTCAAGCTCAAAAAGCGCAGGAGGCATCAGAAAACAATCCGGCGTGAAAAAGCTCGGCTCACAAAAGCCAGGAGAGGATTTGGAGGGGGGGGGGGGGG